GACACTAGACATCTTACGATTAATTACCTTTATCATTGTAGTTACTATTACTTTATCAAGTTTTGCAAATCCCAAGTTTGAGTTAGCTTTAAAACTAAAAACAAATTATCTTTATTCCCAACTTAAGGAAAACAAGTACGTTCCCTGTTTCACCTACCTACTTCTGTCAAAATTAAGTATATGTTATCTTTAAATTTATATGGTGACATAGGGGAGTGATCGTACTAGCATAAATCACTAAGTAACATGTAATTATTTACACATACAAAACAATCAATATTGTTTTCTTCTTAATAAATACTTAACATAGCAACCAACCGGTTATTCAAATAAGTTTCAAAATTAAATATAATTTATTGATTTTTTAAAAATATTATTTGTGGGGATAAAGCTACATTTATATTTTAACATGATACATAAACACATTACTATAATTTTTTACAGAGAAAACCGAATATATACGGTTATCAACGTACAAAATGTACAATATTCTTTACAAAAAAAAAAAAATTAACTACTGTAAAACCAAATCAAGATACATAAATTTAAATATTTTTAAGAAATTAAACAAAAATAATTATAGAAAAATCTGCGCGTATTCGCGGGTACTTACCTAATAGTTTTTTCTTTTTGAGTCACAACTCACCTAGTAGTTATTAAAATGGAATTAACAACAAAAATAATTTAGCCAAAGAACATGAGAAAAAAACGTGGGAAGTTACAAAAGAGAATTTTTATTAACTCAACTCTAATTCCTCACATTTTCTTTGATGTTGGGTTAACTTTTGAGTTAATAATTTTACAAAGGTTATAACTCAAAACTATATGATTTCCCGTACCATGTGCGGGTTTGAATGTATTTTGTGAAAATAAAAATAAAAATTTATTGTTATAAATTTGTAAATTTTTTTTTGTTGAAAGCAAACTTGAAATTATTGTTATAAATTTGTAATGTTAATGGCTAGGTATATGTACCTTATCTATTTGTATCTCTTCGGTTCACTCTCTCTCGGATTCATTTATTTAATTATAATTGCATACAAACATATATTTTCAATAATAAAAAAAAAGAACCTCTAACCCGACATTTGATTATGTGACAAACGTATATCACAAAAACCAATTTCATTTTTAAGCATGTTCCTTAAAATAAACAAAGGTAAAACAAAATCTTTTTTCTTCTTTGTACTTCTTAGCTTTTTTCGTGTCTTACTTCCAAATGTTTCTTTAAATCTTCTTCCAAATCCAGACAAATTGTTGTATATAAAATTTTTCTCTTTCAAAAAAAAAAAAAAAATTTCTCTCTTTGATATGGTCATGTACCTATTTGTCTTTAACAAAAATATATGGTTATGTACCAAATTAG